GGAGCCAAGAGTGGACTCCAGTGCGACTGATCTACTCAAACATCTTTAGCTTAAATTCACAGGTGTTAATTCTCTCTAGAGCAGGCCTGTCAAATCAGTTGAACTTACCAGGTTCTTCTTATTCAGTTGAAATATGGTGCTGGAGTTCTATGGATATGTTAGACTGCTAAAAAGATAAATAAATGGGTCTTACAGCCAATCAAGCCTGAATTCTCCCTAGAAGCCAAGATGACTAAATTGAGACTGTCATAATTTAGTCATATCATAAGAAGACATGACTCACTGGGAAAAACAATAGTGTTTGGAAAGTTAGAAGGCAATAGGAAAAGAGGAATGTCAAATTGCAAAGGGATAACTTTCACATGTTCTTGACCCTCAACTACTCCAGCCCTTGCTCTTCTTCCTAAAAAAACAACCATACTCAATGTGTTGTTAAACTTAAATGGACTGCAGAGCTTCTCCACACCATGTAATAATTAAAATCATTTTTCAAAATGAGAAGTGCTCCACTGCATTTTAACAGTCTTGTTGAAGTTGCCCGCTCCTGCAGTCTATGTAGAGAGAGATTGAGCTTCATATTCTCTAGGTCTCACAGTTTGTCAGGGGCAGTCATGATTAATCTTCTGTCAGCCTATCTTGTTAGCAGCTCTATAAATGTCTCTTTCTCCTCCTATTTTCCTTCATTGTTGCAAACTGAGTTTAAAGTACAAAGGTAGTGTGTACTCAATTAACTTAGCAAGAAAGCAAGGAGGAGGAATATTGCTTTTTCCAGTAGGCTCAGGCAAAAGTAAACTGCTGCCTCTGTGTTCTTTCTCATTAATAACTTTTGACTACACTGATATTTTCTGTCTACATGCACTCCAGTTTCACTGTTGTGAAATATTGAAGGAAATGGAACATCGGATTTCAGCATGCCAAGCATGTGTTTTTCTCCCAAGCACTAGACCTCTTCCAGTGAAGTAATACTACTTCAAAACGAGAATAGTTTAATTGAAATCAATTTCAATGCTTGTTGCTCCCACTGGGGCACTCCCAAAACTCCTCAGATACCAAACAAACAAACAAACAAAATAATAGTATGCTATTCTAAAATCAGAAGGTGTAATCTTGCACCAGGAGGAATGACTTCATGGATAACAGTGTGAACTCCAGCCAATAAAATAACGAACACTGTAGTACTAATTGGGCTGCAGCACATTGCCTGACTATAAGTATGTGGAGCTGATGTAATACTGCTGTGTTATCTGTTCCTCCTTAATTACTAATTTGGTGTTACTAACATAACAGGTTTCTAACAAGTTACTAACAGGTTTCTGCTATGTAGCTCTTTGGCAGGGCTTTTCAACATGAGCCTACTTCTCATGATCCAAGGGATGAATGAAGAGAGGAATATGGGTACAAGGCTATACTTGAAGGAAAAATGTGGAACTAGAGTTTGTTGTCACTGAATATAATAGGAATAGTAACAGTTTTGCTGATTTAAGAAAGTAGACTCAATTGAGTTTCAACTCTAATATTACCAGATTAGAGCACAACTTAATTCTGCACATAGAATTAGAACAGTTTTATAACTCCTTAACTGGCATAGCTCACTGCTATAGAATTCCAGGAGCTGTAACTTTACAAGTTCTAGCTAGCTCTGCTAAATAGTTCTTGTGCCCCACAAATCCCATTATTTCATAGCATTGAAACATCACAGTTAAAGTGGTGTCAAATTGCATGACTTCTAGCGTGTTGATGTACCCTTACCACATCATCAGACAGGCTCATATGGCCATTGTATGCTGCTTGCTCTCTCTCCACTTTCAACATGGAGCCCATTACACAACGGACATGTACTTCTGGCCGGACTCCATGCCAAAAAGGGAGAGCAGGTGGCAATATAGGAAGCTACCTGTGTTGTCTTTGGATCAATGGGGAAAGCTGGCTGGTGAGGCTTCCTCCTGTGGGATGGGGTCCTGGGTAAATTGGGTTATGCGGGGCATGGAGCAACAGGTTTTCCATGCCCCCCACTGGGACCCCATGGGTTAACCACAATGTGTGGTGAATTCTTACAACTTTGTGATGAGGTCCTTAGACATCTATGAAGCTCATTGGTTGGTGGTGGGCCAGCCTGCCTACCCTCCTGTCCCCGTCTGACCTGTCCCACATGGTTATTGTCTGGGTGTGAACCACCATCTCATTGGACAAAAAAATGGGATGTAAATCTAATTGTTTCTTGATCGCAAAGCTTATTAATAAAGCAATGCAGGAATGGATTAAGATGTCTGTAGCTATGGTGCTTGACTCACAAGAAGCTGTAAAGAAAGACAGGTAATAAATAAATACATGATGATGATGATGATGATGATGATGGTGGTGATGGTGATCCACTGCTAAAACTCATTTTAAAATAACCTAGGTTTTAAAGAACTGATTCCCATGTTTATATTGTTTTAGGTTGGAACTTTAACTGCTGCTTTAAAATGTATACTTCATAGTTTGATAGATAAACAAACATGCATCACTCTCTATCATTCGATAGCCATGACATCTTACTGCTATATCTATACATTAATATATATTTTTAATGTCAGTTTCAAGAAAATATATATATTGAAACATGGCCAGGTCATACTAATGCATAACTCACATTTATATACTGAGTAATTATCCTTTTTTTCCCTTTTCCTCTTCCTTTGACTTTTTTCCCCCCACCATGTAATTATACTTTAAATATCAATTTCAAATAATATCAGTGTGTTGCAGGCACAGTAGTACTGTCAAATCTTTTTAAAAAGAAACCTCATGCCACTGTAGAAGTGTGTGGAACTGCTTTGTCGAAACCAAAAGAGAAGGGGTTGTGAGTCATGAATGACATAGAAGCTCGATTTTAAGAAACTGTGTTTTAAGAAGCTTCATGCCATTTCTTCCTTTACTGCTTGGAACATTCCAAGATGATTTAAATGTTAATTGCCAAAGGTTTTCCAAATGCTTTCTCCTTGTTTCACCCCCACTCCCATAGTCTTTTGCCTTGTTTTTCTCCTACTTCCTTGCTCACCTCATGCTTTTTAGTTCAAAACAACACAGTTTAACCTTTCTTTAAGTAGAAGGAAAATGCAATAGAATCCCTGGCACAATAATGATTAACCAGAACCCAGTGATAGCTACACTTATTAGAGTAGCAGTGTTCATGAATGCCAAGAGGCTGGGCAACTCCAGTAGTACAACCAGGCCAGATCCAGCGGTGCTTTCATGTTTACACTGGCAAAGAGTGTAAAACCTTGCCAGTATGGGTTCACCTTGAACCCATAGCAGGCAGTCCATCTGACATATGGCCAGTTTTGCAATAGCAGGAGTTTCCAAGAACCTCTGGAGTGATTCCCCCATGTTTTTGATCTGTGGGCAGCTCGACTGGGCTGGATCTGGGGCCATCCATTTGAAATAGACCCACTTTGTTTTGCTGGCCAAAAGCATCCCCCCAGCAGACCTTTGCTGGTGACATTGCTTCTGGTGATCATATGGCTTTTAAATGCCCTAACGTGACCTCACCTGAAACACCATTGCAAGCAAGGCTATGCTTCTGGCTGGTGAAACCAAGAGAATAGGGCTCCCACAGGGATAGGGCACCAGGGCCATGCACTCCTGGCCAGGACAGCCATGCATAGTGCAAAAACAGCTTTGTGGCTTCTCCACTCCAGAACATGTGGATTCTCTGTAGTGTATCTGGGACAGCTTTGGAGCAGACAACTCTGGAGTATAGACACACCCCAGGGTAGATTAAAATCTGAGGATACTTTTACGCAAGGCTTTCAGCAGGGTTCAGTTACGCATTTTAAGCCACATAGTGTGGCATGGCCTCCTCTGCTTCACCATCTCTTTGCAGCTGCTTGGGGAACAGGGCTGTGCTCAGTGGTGCAGAGCACAGGTGGTACAATGCTGATGTGAGAAATCCTGCGGCACATCATATTATAGTTTCCCTGAAACTGGCTCTCTACAACTTGACTGATTTGTGTGCTAATCAACAAACAAGGAGAGCAAGAAATGCTTGTAAGGACACACCTGTACTATTATGAGGCCCAGTGACACCTCCACATATAGAAAACTGCCATATAGGAGTATATTTAAGGACATGTCTGAGAATAGAATCTCAGACATGTCCTTAAATAAAAAGAGTCAGGAGATTCACTCTGAGAGAGTCATTGGTAGCATAAGCTTTTGTAGACATAAATCTTCTTCAGCAGGTCCATGGAGTAAAGTGCCAATGTAAAAGTTCAATTTCTATTGCTATTCACACATAGAGCCTGCTTATAGATGATTGTTAGGTACTTCATTTGATTGATTGATTTATTTCATATCAAAAGCATTGCATAAATTAGTATAAAACTGATAAAAATTGAAGGAGCACAGGTGGCTAAATATCTTTTGACCAAAAATGTGCAACAGCAATGGCATTGTCTGTAGCCTCCAACAATTCTTCCTCTGTACATGAGGCAGGGCATAGTGGACAAGCTTAAGTTGTGGGATTTTTTTAGGTAGTGCCATTTTGCCAGGTTGTCTTTTGATCTGACCACTCCACTTCTGAGTCTGATCAGGGACTTTCAAGTTGCCCATTCTGGTGTAAGAAAATGGGCCGTCTGCAAGGTATAGTTTTGGAGGTTTGGGAAGGTGGGGGGTGGTTTCCAAACTCCTGAAATAGTCGGGACCTGAGCCATCACTCATTGGATACTTATGCAGCCTAAAAAAATGTTTCAGAGTGATATTCATTTCAGACGTGTTTAGTATTATAATAGTCACCCCACAGAGACAGGCAAAATATTGCCCTCCTGATGTTTTGAACTATAAATTCCACAATGCTTTACCAATATTTAGGGGATTTATCTTGTTGGCAATAGATTACCTGTACTGTGATATGTTGAAAGAATTCTGTTCTTATGACCTTCTTTATTCCCAAACCAGGTTTTAGATTAAAAACAAACCCCAATATTCATTTATTTTATTTTTGCATGTTTTTGCTCCAGCCTGGCCCAACAATGGAATGCTGAAGATGAGGAAGAACAAGAGAGGGAGCGCAGGCGAAGACACAGGCAGCTGAGCTCCGTCTCTGAAGTCAAGGAGGAAACAACCAGTACAGTGCAAACAAATGAGGAGGAAGACACAACCAGTAAAGCATCAAACAGGTGTGCTTGTATATTTCATGAAACAGAGGAACAGACAAGCTCTTGTGTAACTGTACAGGTTGACTCTACAAGTATATTTCAATTAACAAAGTAGATGTCATTTTGGGGCTTATTATTATTATTATTATTATTATTTTATTATTAAACTTTATTTGTACCCCGCTAGCATCTCCCGAAGGATTCGATGCGGCTTACACAGGCCGAGGCCTCAACACACAACACAACAATACAATCTAAGCAAATCAAACAATTAAAAACAGAGTAAAGCAAAATAAACAACAGGCACAATACACTAAAACACAATAAAACTGGGCCGGGCCAGAGAATGGGTACAAAGATTAAAAGTGCTGATGTGACAGGAGGTGTATATAGGGCTTCTAGGGCAAGTGCGATGTGCGATGTGCAGCAATCATTGGTTCTGATAAAGTGCTTATGGGACTTGGTAGTGGAGATTTCCTAATCTGGGAAGGCGCATCGGAAAAGCCAGGTCTTCAAGTTCTTTCTGAAGACAGCCAATGTAGGGGCCTGTCTAAGGTCTTTGGGGAGGGTGTTCCAGAGTCGGGGGGCCAGCACGGAAAACGCCCTGTCCCGCGTCCCCACCAAGCGCGCTTGCGACGCCGGTGGGATCACGAGCAGGGCCTCTCCAGATGACCGAAGTGAACGTGTGGGTTCGTAGATGGAAATGCGGTCACGCAGGTAGGCTGGTCCCAAACCGTTCAGGGCTTTGTAGGTAAGCACCTGCACCTTAAATTGGGCTCGGAATATAAACGGCAGCCAGTGGAACTCCTTGAACAGGAGGGTTGACCTCTCTCTGTAAGAGAGAGGGGCATCACTTCTTTAACAAAAATTTGGTACCAGGGGCAGAAATAACATGAAAAGTATAGGGTTGGGCTTTTATGCTATATAAAGAAGAGCAGCCCAGCATGTTTCAGCAAACCTTTTTCTTCAAAGCTATATAATATGCCCATATGAAATGAAACAACCAGACTAAGGAGCCTTGGTTAAGTAAACCAGAACACTTTGAAACCTCTAAGGACCACTTGAAGGTTTCTTCCAAAACGCATCCAAAAATGACTTTCTCTTTTGCTTAATGCCATTATTCTTATGATTTCCATTTTATTTACCAGACTATAGAACTGTTCAGAACTGTTCAGTGGGGGATAGTTGGCAATGCTGGTTTATCAGTTTTCCCCTTTCCTTCTGTTTTACTGTTCAGTAAAAGATTCTGTTCAGTAAAAGATTCTGGAGACAGCTGCTGTTTCTCTTGTCTGTTGTAGGTAAGCTCAGTTGGCTTCTGTAGGAATAGCTGGAGCAAAATCTCGCCCATTCCCAGTTCAAACTTTTGTTTATTACATTGTTTACTGCAGATATGCTGCTGTGACCCAGCACTAAAAAGGCTTTGTTTCTTTAGAATTTCCCAGCATTTAAAAAGAGAATTAAAAGCTATAACTGATATTTCCAAAACAAATCAGAATTTTAGGACACCAACCAATCTCATCATAACATTTTAGAAAGATACATGAGCAATCCCACCATATTTTCCCTATTATAAATCCCCCAAGTGTTTAATGGTTAACCTGTAGTGCCCCCAAGTGTTGTTTCTAAAGTGTTGAGAGCTTTCCTTTTTTTAAATTAAAACAAGGGACATATAGATCTTTTAAAATGTGTTATCATAAGCTTTCATAGACAATATCAACTTCATCAGATACTTAAAGCATGATACACAATTTCAGGTACAGTCTAACCCCCATACCTGTGATACCAGTACCTGTGTTTTCCCTTACCTGTATTCAACAAAATATGTCCCCTCTAGTAATTTTCAAGGTGATTCTATGGTATGCATTTGCTAGACATTACCATAGAGTCATGCTGACAAAATTCAAGAAAAGATACCTCTGGAGGAATTTTCTAGGTCCTCCAACATAAATCTGTGGTAACTTCTAGCAGAAGTTGTTTATTTCAATAGTATCCATTATTATGCACAATTTCTTGTTTCCACAGTAAATTAAGGAAGATATCCCTTATAGATAGGGAGGTTATACTTTATATATACATCTCACATATATAGGAATGAGATTGAAGACAATGGGTTAGAAGAAAATTAAATACAGAAAATAATTGACAGTGATAATTACCTTATTAGCAGTAGCAATTCAAAAAGCTCTTGTTGATGACACAACAAATATCATGTCACTAGGATGCCATCTAACTTACGGCCTCATCACAAAGGGCTAAATTTGGCAGCATGCACCAGTTTAGCCCAGGTCACCTATGGAGCCAGCCAGCTCCCATCATGTGTCACCAGTGCGGCTCCATAAGTGTAGGAGAGCAGAACTGGTGCATGCTGCTACCACAGCAACATGGGAGGCTTCCTGTGTTGCCACTGAAATCCATTGGGGGAAGCCACATACTTCTTGTATGCTCCATGCTTCCCCCCATGGAATCAGCTGGAAGAGGAGCTGGGTGATGAAGGGCGAGGGATCCTGGGTTCCCACACCCCCCAATGAAGCGGAGTGATTACGGCGGCTGTGTGACAAAGTCGTTATACAGAATTATTTTTAAAATGTTATTCTGAGAGTGTATCTAGTGTAGAATTAGTGCAGTTTAACACTACTTCAGCTGCCATGGCTCATTGCTATGGAATCCTGGTAACTATAGTTTAATAAGCTCTTTAGCATTCTCTGTCAAAAAATGATGATGCCCCTCATATTACAAATGTCAGGGTTCCATTGCGTTAAGTAATGTCAGTTAAAAATGATGTCAAACTGCATTAATTCTACAATGTAGATGTTCCCAAATCAGACTGCTGGTGATAGATTCAAATATAACCATTTGTAAGAGTATTTTCCTGCTTCCAACTCCCTTTGAAAATTTTCTCAAATATAACCTTAAGGTGAGCAACAGCTATCTGATCTGGAACCCAGTCTTAAGAAAAAGACCAGATATAAATAAATATTGCTGTCAGCATCATAAGCAACAACAATAGCAGCAGCAGCAGCAGCAACAACAGACTGGTACATTCTCTCACCAGCATTTGAATATTGACATTTCTGAGTCAGATCTTGATCTTTGGTGTAAAGACTGTTTATGCTATGTGGCACGCAGAAGGCAACATGACATATATCACAATGAAAGATCACAATTTTCTTTTTTATTCTAGGTTCTGCAATTCATCTGAGACAAAGCCATTAAAGCTGGGGAGATCAAAAGTGGAAAATGACAGGACATTGGTAGATGAGGTAGACAAACAGGAAGAGGTCAGTGTAAGGAGGAGAGTGGAAATGTTAAATAATGTCAACCAAGCCAAGAAGCAGACAGTGAGTATCAAGAGATTCCAAAAGAAAGCTACTGACCAGAAAGCAAAGTCTTCTTCAGAAGTAGCCCAAGAGCCAAAATCCCCAATAGTGGACAAATGTGGAGGCCAGGTACAGCAAAAAGAAACTGTAGAACAAAAGCAGCAAAACCTGGATCAGGAAAAAAAGGAGACACCATTGAAGGTGCATAAAAACCTGGATCAAAAAGAAAACACAATGTTGCAGAAAAATGGTAACTTGGATCGGGAAGAGAAGGAATGCCCAATGGGCAATGATGAAGTATTTAAAGAGGAGGAGAAAACTTTGAATTCACACATGTCTCCAGCACTAGCTTCAGTCCAGAATGAAGTGGCCATAAAGCAACCTCAGCGAGCTTCCTGGGAACGTAAGAGCATCAGCCGGCTTGAGGTGAAAATTCAACCAAGAGCGAGGAATTTCATTGAAACTTCCATAACTACTTCTGCCTCGGGGCCTCAGGTACTCAGTTTTGTTACTTTATGGGAGAGAAGTCTGCTGAGAGAAAAAACAAAATGCATGTTCAGGCAAGCATAAGGTGTGGCAAGCTTGGAATAAAAACAGAAAAGTTGGTGTTGTGATTTATTTTAGTCTTCAAAGATGGCTGAATCTCTCAGCTGTGGAAGCAGAGTTGCCTTTAGTAGGGAAGGACTTGGGGAGAAATCTTTTTTTTTTTTGTGGGGGTGGGTTTGTTCTTATAGTATTACTCATAGTTTAGCAGCAAATAGGTCAGCGTCTTTGAGGCATTATAATCTTAACTGGGGGAGACAAAGATCCTGCTGTTTGACAAGTGACACTGCTTGATGACTACTGTCCAAAAAATACTCCACTCCCCTCTCTGAATGCTGTTCTCTTGCCCAGTGCAAGACCTCTCTCTATCTTTTCTTGAACTCATCTGCTTATGAAGAGGTAAAGGTATCATTGGGAGAAATAGTGGGGAAATTACAAATCAACAGACAGGAAAGAACAAACAGAGAGAGCAAACTTGACCAAGTGCCATTATATGGAAAACAGTACTTTCATAATCTCTCATACTTTAGTTACTTTTGATTCTTTGGTAGTCCAGAGATTCCTCAGCCAACTACCAAAACATCCTGCATTGTATGTGCCTTTTTAATCATGATTTCTTGGCTGTTTACTCTCACACAGTGTGGACACACATAGTGCTGTTTTGAACTTCTGCCATATTGAAACCATCTCATTTCAACATTTGATTAATAATGTCCCAAACCTACTTTTTTTCTTCTGCTTTAGGTGGATCATGTCCGTGGTAGTGAGAGTCACAGATGTAGCAAATAGTGTTATGTGGGCACTACCTTGCCACTATGCCAGCATCCCATTATGTCATCACTCTACTACATCAAAGTGGATAGTCCCTGTTTGAACATCTGAAATTACAATATTGAACAACCTATTAAAGTCCCCCAGACTCTTCTTTTGTGCACCTGGCCATCTTAGATATTACTTGTACAAATGCTCAGAAAATTAGATATTTCCACCAAACAGGAGGTGCTAGATGAACAATATAACCCAATACATTTCTACTCATAAGTAAGCCCCATTGAATTGATGAAACTTAAATAAATACATTGTATAGAATTGTATCCTAGGACACTTTGAATTAGGTGTATTTTTCACTTTAATACCATTTCAACTGCTATGGCTGCATGATATGTAATCTTGGGATTTATAGTTTGGCAAGGCACATGAACTCTTTGGCAGACAATCATAAATACTTCTTTCCACATTGCAAATCTCAGGATTCCACCGTATGTAACCATGATAGGAAAGCACTATCTGAATTGTCTGTAACATTTTTCTCCCAGAGTCTTAATCATTAAACTTGCTTATTGTCCTCTAATTCATATTTGTCTTCTAGGCCACAGCAAGAAATATTCCAAAACTGGATAATGAGACTTCAAGCCCTGCCTCTAGCCAGGGTGAATGTGAGGTTCCATTACTATGCTCCCGGCCACAGATTTCCTACAGTAGCTCATTCAAAAGGATCAGTCCAAGAACAATCTCATTCCGGGTAAGCATTTACTGTCAAAGTAGGAAAAGGTATTTAATTTGAAAAATACAAAATAGTGGGTTGTTGTGAGTTTTTCAGGCTGAAGATGCTTGCCACAGATGGAGGTGAAATGTCAGGAGAGAATTCTACGGGAACATGGCCATACATCCTGAAAAACTCACAGCAACCCAGTGATTCCAGTCATGAAAGTCTTCAACAACACAAGGACAAAATAGTGTGTTCACATGATATTTCCATTAAGGGTTCTGTACAGAGAAGAGGCCAGGGGTGTTGAACATAATCATTTGTCTAGCTGAAATCTGCTTAAATGTTCACTTCTATATGTGAGGTTGCTTTTGGATGATGAGATAGTCAAGTTAATTAAGGTTATTGTTATTGTGTGTCTTCAAGTAGTTTCAGACTTAGGGTAACCCTAAGTCTAAAGTTTAAGGTGGGGGCCATGTCAATGACATTGCACATGGACCTTAGTTTGAGGCCCCTTAGTTTATAGAAATGGTGTGTTCATGTGTAAGGACCTTCACATCACCTGTCAACTTATGGAAGCCTCCTACATTTCATAGGAATGCTCAGAGGTGGTTTTGCCAGTTCCTTCCTCTGGAATATAGCTTACAGCACTTGGTATGTGCTATCAGTCTCCCATCCAAGAATTAATCAGGGTTGACTCCACTTAGCTTCCAAGATAAGATAGGGTGCCTTTAATGTCTTTAGGCTTCCACAGTCCATTCTTATTGGTTTCTGCTCATTATAGACATATTTCAAACCCACTTACAAAGAGGTTATTTCGGATTGGTACAACATTCTAGCCCAGATCTCCTAATCCAGTGATTCTCAACCTGTGGGTCCAAGAACCTGTCAACTCCAAGAAATCCTAACAGCTGTTAAACTGGCTGGGATTTCTGGGAGATGTAGGCCAAAACACCAGGAGACCCACAGGTTGAGAACCACTGTCCTAATCCTTTTTCTGTGACTGATTTTTGTCATTCTGCTTTGTGATATGTCTCAGTCCTATCAGCATCAGTTGTCAATGAACTGGTATGATGTTAATTCCCTTGAATGTACAAACTGTTCAGCTCAAGTAGGAGATACAACTACATTTTAGCAGTGGACTTCACTATTTTTTCCTGTTGTAGCTCTTCTATTAGTTATGCAAGACAGCAAATGATAGAATTATTTATTTATTTATTTATTTAGAGATTTTATAATCCTGTCTTCTTGACCTCCGAAGAGGGACTCAGGCCGGTTAACAATAGAAAATTCATACACAAACAGAGTAAACATAATAGCATCATAATACATTAATACAAATTACATTAAAATACAGATCATACAATATCATACAATTACAAAAGCCAGGTTGTCAGAGTAATTACCTACCTGGATATAACCTTACTGAATATGTTATTGTTAAAACTTCCAGAAACAATTCTACAGATCACTTGTAGAATACATACAAGTTATACATTTATGTATAGGTAGGTTCTTGTGTCTTTAAAAGTTAAGCAGCAGAGGTCATTTCGGCACAGATGCAGCTGGTATGATAAGAGTTCAAGGCAGTGGGAGGGTACCTGGCTCACTTAAGCCTAGTGGTGACTCCAACTGGAGCCCCTCTTTAATATTGGCCAGCAGCAGCTCCCCTGGGATGGCCAGACAAGAATGCCTTCTGTTGCAATCAAGGCAATTTGATTAAGCAGGAGAGGAAAAACCTACATTGTCTTCTTTGCTGTGCCTTTGGAGGGGAGTTTTTGCTATGGATGGAACAGCTGAGCTGAGAGATAATAGGTGGAAAGAGAAGAAGAAGGAAAGAAAGTTCAGGGTAAGAACCTCAATAATGGACTTTCTGGTTTTTTATTCTTCCATCATATTCATATGGTGAAACTTTTAAAATCTAGATTTAATTTAGTATGAGACCTTTTTGATAGCTCCTCTCCAAACAAGCTTATGAAAAACTCCAAGGGCAGTTCAGGTGTTTGGAGTCAAGTACTAGTTGAGAGTCTCCATACTTACTTTTTCACACCTGAAAAGTTTCTTCAGGCCATGTACCAATCCTACATACAAAATTATTTCCTTCCAATAGAAAGCTCAAGTTTCTTATTCCTGTGTTTCTAGGTGGTCTCCAGAAAGGACAAACAGGATGATGGATTAAGCAGAAGGTAATATATACTAATGTGAATGTGCTGTTTCAATCTGTGTCTGAATAGTATTATCATTTGTGCATAATTTTTTGTGCATCTGTTGGAACTTTTTGAATTACCATGCAGCTTAACCCTAGAAGAAAGATGGAATAAAAAACAAAAACAAATCATCAATTGGTAATAGCACTTCTGGTCATGATATTAAGTTTTTTTTTCCTTTTGGACATTTCTTGTATTTTGTGAAGTATGTTAGGATTCTGTGTAAGAAGTGATAGATAGGTAGAGTAGTGTTTCTCAACCTTCCTAATGATGTGACCCCTTAATACAGTTCCTCATGTTATGGTGACACCCAACCATAAAATTATTTTCGTTGTTACTTCATAACTGTAATTTTGCTATTGTTATAATTCATGATGCAAATATTTGATATGCAGGATGTATTTTCATTTACTGGACCAAATTTGGCACAAATACCTGATATGCCCAAATTTGAATATTGGTGGTGTTGGGGAAGGATTGATTTTGTCATTTGGAAATTGTAGTTGCTGGGATTTATAGTTTATCTACAATCAAAGAACATTCTGAACTAAAGCAACGATGGAATTGAACTATGGCACACATAACCCCTTTGACCAACAGAAAATACTGGAAGGGTTTGGTGGGCATTGGTCTTGAGTTTTGATGCTGTAGTTCACCTACATCCAGTGAGCACTATGGACTCAAACAATGATAGATCTGAACCAAACTTGGCATGAATACATAATATGCCCAAATGTGAACACTGGTGGAGTTTAGGGGAAATAGACCTTGATATTAGAAAGTTGTAGCTTCTGGTATTTATAGTTCACCTGAAATCAAAGAGCATTCTAAACTTCACCAATGATAGAATTGTGCCAAACTTCCCACACAGAACCCCCAACATGTGAGGGGGTGTTAGAGGAGTTGCCAAAAACCATCAGAAAAATAATGTGTTTTCTGATGGTTTTTGGCTACCCCTCTAACACCCCCTCATGACCCCCCCAGGAGTCCCAACCCCCGGGTTGAGAAACACTGGGGTAGAGGGTCTACTGATCCTCTCTTGGCCTAAGATAAGCCAATTTACATTTCCTATGTCCTTGCTGATTTTTATTTCTGTGTAATGGGAAGATGATTCTGTGAATTGCATTGGCAGTAAGAAATGGAAGGTAAAAATATATTGCCTTTCTTCAGCTTCTAATTTATGTAATTCTCAGAATTATTTTAGTTTCTTAAATGCATTTTAGCATGTGTGTATGTGTCTATTTTTAAGGCTGCGATTTTCACATTGGTCGTAAGAGACAGCACCTGCTACAAAATCCATTGCAAACTTTATCTTGTTGTAATGCCACAAAAAAATAGTGCCAGTGATTTAAATCACTGCTGACTTAAATAAAGGTTGTAAATGTTTAACTTACATAAAACCTCTCACCCTCACTGGGAAAAAAGTTACAAAGGTAGAGAAGGGCAACAAATAGCTGATGTTTTTCCCTTTCGGCATTAAAACAGTCTTGGTATCTTATTTTTTAATTGGCATGAACAGATCTGCCGGTAATATAAAGACAGTGCTCTGGAATCAGTTGATAACTGGGAATGAAGACTCTTTGTGGAAAGGACTATTCAGAATCCAGTCAGGGTTTCAAAATGATTATGATTCAGCCAAAGTTGGATAATGTTGGTTTCAATCTGAAGATTAAGCATGGATTTACCCACCTCTATTTGAAACCATGAGGATTGAAATGAGCTTAACCAAGAAACTGCTCATTATGTTTGTGTTTCAGTTCCATATCTATCCCACGCAGTCATTCTGGGAATAAACAAAATATTAGACATGCATTTTTGCACAGTAATGTTGATACACAGAATAGCGGTTCTCAACCAAGGAAGCTCTGGATGTTTATAGACTTCAGCACCTAGAATCCCTGACTATTGCTTATGCAGGTTGGAGCTCCTGAGAACTGAAGGTCTAGCAGCAGTTTACCTGTTCCTGGATGAGAACCACTAAAAAAAGAGGAAGTGGAGAGAGAGAAAGGGAGAGGGGAAGAATTTGAAAATGTTAGGCACTGAACATGGTTTGATTGCTTCTTCAAATGCTAAGTAACTAATAGTATTTTGCCTTTCCGTATGGGGAAATAAAGACAGATAAAATGGGTGCTAATTAAATACATACACAGAATAAGCAATGAACAGACTATAGGCCCTCAGTGGTCATGAACACATCACTCCTTTTGTTGCAATGGCTCCACAGCCTGTCTGTCAATTTCTGGGCACAATTCAAAGTGTTGATGATGACATAGTAGTATTGAGGCTAGCTAGGCCAAGTGAAGGTGGGCACTCCAACAGAGTCCGTACTGCATACCATCATCTTTTAGGAAAAAAAACATAGTTGCCCCTCTCATTTGCTTTTTTTTTATTCTCCCTTCCTGCTTAATTACTGAGGTCCTTAGTACAGCTCATGTTTAAGGTTAACTGAAGGACCACATTCTTCCATATGTGTCTGTGTTTTGAAATCTTCTGGGGAGGTCCTTTTTCTGTCCTACCACCCTTGAAGGACCATTCTTGGAAAAATTAGACACATGCCCTCTTTCCTGTCCTTTCTAGGCAGATGAAGATCTTTTTGTTTTGGGAGATAGTTGATTTATTGTTGTTTTTAATAGCCATGCTTAACAGCTTTGAAATTTATTATTAGTCTCACTCGATTTTTAACATTTGTAAGATGTGATATTTTAAAACTTAATCTACTTTAAACTTTGTAAGTCATTTTTAGTCCTGGGGTAAAGATAGGATATGAATTAATATTATTTCCATCCTCATTGTTGCAGTGGCAAACGTTAAAATGCAGGTATGCATAGTGATAGTTTCATTCATTGTGGATGTTGCAAATATCATTGTTTCTTACAAAATCTTTGTGTTCTCACCCTGCATTTAATGCGGTCACATTCCTTTCTGCCTTTGCTTCACTAGTGCCAGCATGAGGCTCCTCCCAGCAAACACACCTAAACTTGAGGAAAAGTTAGAGAAATACACATCTGCAGTGCAGGTAAGTGTGTGGCAAATAGAGATGGCCATGGTGTCTTTGCAAAGAGGGGTAGTTAAAGTGCAGCCCCGGGGTTGCATTTGCCCTCCCCTTGCTTCTTTGTTTACAACACTAGGTACCTCTTTTCTAATAAGAACAGATTATTTGCCTTTCTTATGCCTGCCAACATTTCAGGGATGAAAATCAGGACAGTTGCAGGGATGCTGTAATTCGAATGAGATCAGATTAAGGAAAACCCTTCTTAGCTGTCAGGACTCTCATCTGTCCCTGCTTTATACAAAGGGTATTTATTCCTTTTGTTTGCCTCAAGAAGTAGCTTGGAATCACACAAGATATTATGTCCCAAAGCTTGGAGAGACTGCAGCGGTTTCCTTTTGTGCCTGAGCATATCGCAGAGGGTAAGATTTCACCACCTCCTCCTCCTAACTTGAGTGCAAACTACTTTTGCCCTTTGAACTCTGTTTCCAAAAATGGAAGTAAGTCTAAGATGAAGGGAGGAGGAGAAATAAATTTAAAAGCACATGAGAAAATGAGGCAGTAGAGGGTTAAATAGGGATGCCCCTGCCAACCTGGGGAGTTGGAGAGTGTGCTTTCCTGGAAGGCACCAGAACAGGCAATTCACCATTTGCAGGCCTCCGCCTTGCACTGTTTGGTTTGAAAACAGGTTATACATGTATCCAAAATATGATTTTGAGGAGGTGAAGAGGAAGGTATCCTGATAGAATAAAAGGAATAATAATAACAATAATAATAAAAATAATAAATAAATAAATAAGTTTTGAAACACAATACACCAGACATCACTATTGTGGCGGGGGGGGGGGGGGGGGGGGGGGGGGGGGGGGGGAGTCTGGATTATTGATGTCACCATTCCAGGTGACAGTCGCATTGAGGAAAAACAACAGGAAAAACTCAGCCGCTATCAAGACTTCAAAATCGAACTGTAGAAACTCTGGCATAAACCAGTACAGGTGGTCCCAGTGGTCATTGGCGCACTGGGTGCCATACCAAAAGATCTCAGCTGGCATTTGGAAACAATAAACATTGACAAAATCATGATCTGTCAACTGTAAAAGGCACCTTACTTGGATTTGCACATATCATTTGAAAATACATCACACAGTCCTAAATGCTTGGGAAGTGTTCGGCTTGTTATTTTGTGATACGAAATCCAGCATATAGATCTCGTTTGTTGTGACATACTGTGCTTTTGTGTCAGTAAAATAATAATAAGTGTCCTAGACACTTGGGAAGTGTCCGATGTGTGATCCAATACAACAGCCAGCAGAGTGACCTTGTTTGCTGTGTACTAATCTTTTTGTGTTTCTAATTAATAATGATGATGATGATGATGATGATGATGATGATAATAATATAAAAACATAGCTTGTTAGCTGCTTTGGGTCTCCCTTTAGAGAGATAAATCAGGATATAAATACAGCAACAACAACAATTATTTTGAGCAAATGTTTGTCAGTTTCAATCAGCCTGATCTCCCTTGCAGGATTGTTCTGAATATAAAAGGGAAAGGATGAAAATGTGGTTATCAATATGATAATTACATTAATTAAACATTTAAATAAGGAGAAGAAATTTGCTTCTGCACTTGGAATGTAAAGAATATATGCAACTTTTCTCTTTCTGGGTGAGAAAGGGTGTATCAAAAATTCCTTGTCAACTCCCAAAAGTTATAAAATCTGAGCTTTTCCTGTGATGTTTTTGCCTTCTTTTCTCCTAGAGAGCAGGCTCAATTAGATTGTCGTCTTCTGCTCGGAGAAATTTCCAGCCACCTGCAGAAGGTGTGGCCAGCAAGCGAAGCATCTTTGAAGCCAATGTTCCTAGCAGGGCTGAGCCTCCCACCCTTGTTCGGAAGGTAAGGTCTGTGCATAAAATAAACAATAGGGCTTGTAGTCATTTAGAGGCTCATCAGTTGAAGCACATAAAAGGTAGTGGAGGAAGATGCCACAATGAAGTTGCAGGCCATTCTGTCATTTAACAAATATATTAAATTTGCATGAGCATGTCTAGCAACTTTACACTTGGAAGGGAAATATCCCATGGGATATCTTGGTTCTATCCTGACGGGTCATTTTCCGAAGAAGAGAGTTCTCTCTGTTTTTGAAGGTTTACCATGTGAATTGGAGTCCTGGAAAATCAGTTTTCTGGATCATATGTATCCCAGAATTGGGTTTGTAATAACCTGTAACCTACAAGACATTGTCTGAATACAACACTTATCAGCTCTAGCCAGCAAAGCCAATGGTGAGGAGTGTTGTGGATTGCATCTCAATGAATTCTGAACAATTGGACTTTTCCTGCTCTTTGTTGTGGTCTCCAAAGATAAAGGAGGGTGTGTTTTCAGAAAGGCTCCTCCACATGTGGAATGTCATTGAACTAATGATTGATCCACATATCCTTTTTTTAACAACACTTCACTAGAGTTCCCCAAAGTTCTCCCAATTTTAAAAACGTTTTCCCTTTCTAAGCATCTGAAATCCCCATGCCTCACACTACATCTCCCAAAACCTAACCCCACAAATAAAGAAAAGTAGCCAGAAATGGGGTGGCGGTGGAGATGAGATTGGCCACCAACACATTTGCTCTAGAGCAGTGTTTCTCAAAGTGTCCTCCAGATGTTTTGTACTTCAACTCCCACAATTCCTAACAGCTGGTAAAGTGGCTGGGATTTCTGGGAGCTGAAGTCTAAAACACCTGGAGAAGTACAGTTTAAGAAATACTACTCTAGAGTGTCTCCCTTCTTCAATTCCTTCTGTTCCCTTCTTCCAGTTGGGCAAACATTCACTACTATCATTCCCATCTTTTTTGTTCCTAATTAGATATGTGTTTCAGCCTGGTAATGAAGTTCCTCCTTCTTGTTCAGAAGACATCTGCTCTCATCTCCCTTTGCCCCTCAGGCATTTCTTCTCACTTGTTAGTTGTGAGCATTGTGTTTCCTTGCCAATACTTCATTGTCAACAGTTTATCTCACATTCTTTCCCTGCCTCACCTTGGAACCCTCTAGGTTGTTTCAAACTGGCACCACACTAATATTACATATAAAACATAAGACACACAACTTATATAAGCTCATTTCTGGAGCTCTGGCAGTTGTAACCCCATTTCTGAGACACTATAGCAGATTGACCAAGAGCTAGGGAAGCTCTGCAGACTGATATGTAAGATCTAGACTGTTTTTCTCTGAGCTTTAAACATTTGTTGAGGCCAAATTAGTTCTGTCATAGGAGATCCATATTAGAAATGCCCTCTTTTTTTAATAGTTAAGTAAGGATAATCTCTGCTTCCTTCCTTAGCCCTGCCATGCATATCTTCTCAACATGTGATAACTGAAAATGGAGTGCATGCTATCCTTGCATATACCTGGGTCACAAGATCTAGAAAAGGGATGAAAAAGTAACGCTTCTGGCCAATGTGTAGTCAGAAACTCATTTTAATGCCTCCTCTAGCATTATTTCTGAGCAATTTTCTTCTCAATATCTAAAGCAGTGGTTCTCAACCTGGGGGTCGGGACCCCCGGAGGGGTCGCAAGAGGGTGTCGGGGGGTCGCCAAAGACCATCACAGACTGTATTTTCTGTAGGTCATGGGAGTTCTGTGTGGGAAGTTTGGCCTAATTCTATCATTGGTGGGCTTCAGAATGCTCTTTGAATGTAGGTGAACTATAAATCCCAGCAACTAGAAACCAATCCTCCCATCCCAACCCCACCAGTATTCAAATTTGGGCGTATTGGGTATTTGTGCCAAATTTGGTCCAGTGAATGAAAATACATCCTGCATATCAGATATTTACCTTACAATTCATAACAGTAGCAAAATTACAGTTATGAAGTAGCAACGAAAATAGTTTTATGGTTGGGGGTCAACACAACATGAGGAACTGTATTAAGGGGTCGTGGCATTAGGAACGTTGAGAACCCCTGATCTAAAGCAATTTTGCCACAGTTTTGCCCCTGTTGTGTCCCACAGAGGGTTATAGAGAAACCCCTTGTCACATTTGGGTTAGGATGCTCCATCATAGAAAAGATTTTGTTTCCACGCTGTAGTTTTTAGCTTAATTTGTTTCCATTATGCAGTTTCATGCTATTTCCTTGTGATTTAGGAGAGTTTGAAAATCCCTGGAGGGGTCACATCTCGCATCAATCTTTGGATCAGTCGAACTCAGGAGCCTTGCAAGGATGAAGGAACCAAGGTATGAAAAGTATTGACACATTACTTTAAAGCACTTAGTTTTTGCATGTGAGAGCATTGCTATCATGAGGCAAACAGTTTGGGCATGGCTATTCTTGTTGCTTCCTTTAAAAGATAAATTTACAGAAATATGAAATCCTGAAATTAGGGCAGTTTCCATTGCACGATTTGTACAATATAACCTAGCTCTGCATTTCAGTCCATTTTAATTATATTAACATTGAATTAAATAAATTCCAGGACATTCATAAACTATTTATTTATGTATTTATTTACCTTATTTATATCCTGCCTTTCTGTACCCCAGGGGGTACTCAAGGTGGCTTACATATCCCACTTGTACATACAATGTTAACTTAAAAATAAATTGGATTAAATTAATACATATTAAGAATAATTAAAACACATTCCAATGTTAAAACACATCGAAGGATCAGAGTCTAAGGCCATTCCATAAATTTAATATTCCACATTAAATTTACTGCACCACACTATTTTTCAAAAGCCTGCTCCCAGAGCCAGGTGTTTACTCTCCTTCTGAAGGCTAGGAGAGAGGGGGCAGATCTAATATCGCTAGGGAGGGAGTTCTACAATCGATGGGCCACCACTGAGAAGGCCCTGTCTCTCATCCCTAACAGCCACACTTGCTAAGAAGGTGGGACCGAAAGCAGGGTCTCCCCAGATGATCTTAATCTCTGAGATGGTTTATAGTGGGAGATATGTTCAAACAGGTAAACTGGACTGGAACCAGTTAAAAATGCTTCCATGACGTCCACAGAGCCTGTTTGGAGACAGACTACATAAGTACATAAACTAAACTTGATGGTTTCATTGCTTCTGAGGACACAGTTAATGCTTTCAACATGAGGGTCTGAACTCTCAAACTAATGGTCTGTATATAAATACCAAAAGATAACAGTTTTAGATGTTGCCTTAGGGCACAAAAGGTTAGCTGTTAAGTAGACTACAATACTGAATTCCTGAGTGATTAGCATGCCTAAGTCAGGCATGGACAAACTTTGGCCTTCCAGGTGTTTTGGACATCAACTCTCACAATTTCTAACAGCCTGGAGGGCTGAAGTTTGCCCATGCCTGGCCTAAATACTTCTATGCATTAGTGAAACAGCTGAGAAAGAATAAATAAAGAGGCCATGAACCTCATTCCCACTGCTGATGCATGACCGCTCACTAAAGCCCATGATAGAAATGCTTCCATAACATCCACAGAGCCTGTGTGGAGAAAGACTAGTACATAATTACTGGTGAACAGATATTTTCACCACTGGAGGGAGCAGCTCTTCGGGAAAAACTGTAAACTGGTGAACATATCAGCAAGTTTTCAGACCTTATAATTTGTTGTCCAGCAGGACATTCGGAGAATTGAGAGCTCCATGCAACAGAATCAGTGGGGAACACGATCTGATGATTCCTGAAGAAAAACCAGGGTAAGGGCCAAAGGAAGTCTGTCAGGTCATGAAACTATTCCCTCTGCTTGGAATGAGTGCCACACTACTTTGGAAAGAAAAGGAATTCAGTTATTTTTCCTACTGGACTTAATTACTAAAGAACGCTGCATGTTAATATGGCATTATGTATATGAACTGATTTTAATTTCAGCTTCTGGTTCGGGCAGACATTGAGCTTGAGCATTCAAATACAGTTAGCCCTCCACATTCACTGAAAATGCTCTCTAGGCATTTCAGCACAGCTCTGTAGTCACTCCCTCTCATTGGTGAACCTAGAGATTCCTAGAGAAACCATAATAATCAAATCCGTGAATAATAAAATTGACAAAAGTGAAAACTGCAAATGTAGAGGGCCAGTTGTACACAACCCAGTCCAACATTACTTTCCACTCGCCTAATGCTTGCCTTGTATCTTTCAGATGTAACTATATAAGCTGCTCTGGGGACGACTTATCTCCAATTAAATCAATGGCCTGGACCACTTGAAATTCTTCTGCATCTCTTCGTTTCAGACTTTTCCCCTTTGCAGGACCATTTGCCTGGGGAACATATCTATCCATCAACTTGCCTATGGTGCCTTTCCAGGATGGGGTTTCTCAATTACATTTTTTAAAAGTTGCTTCTGATTGGTGGATGGGAAAGTTGACACATATGGAATAGAAAGTATATTTCCATAATATTCCTATGTCCTATTCTTATTCTGCATCTCCTAGCCCCCAAATATCAAAACCTTAGGTTCTACCAACAGCCTTGAAAATACGGAAATATGTTTGGTCCCTTGACTGGGTCATGCTTCAGCTGTGTCTCTGCCTTAATGGTTGCCATGATAAGGAGTTCTTGTACTTCTCAAGCCAGAGGTACTTTCTGCACAAAACAGAAGTGTGTCTGCCATATGATGTCATAGACAGTCAGGTATTACAGGCTCTATGAAGATGTCGCTAGGATGAAGGAAGCCAATTGGAAGGGAAAAAATATAAAGCATGGGGGCTGTTAAAAGGTTCACAAGAACTTGCTGCTATCTGAATAACGGGAATGGGAAGGTGAACTGTTGAAGATGTGTGGGGAGAAGAACGGTATAGACTGCATCAACAGGTTTCTCTTTGCAGGAACCTCTCTCTCACACAAATCATGCTAGGCTCCCTGAAAAACTGCCAAGGGGTTAGATGCTATTAAAGTAGTGAGAATGATTTTTCACCACAAATGCACCTTCTTGTTTCAGCTAAGCCTAAATTGTAGCTGAAATTTACTGAAACCAATGCAATAGTTCTACTGGGTCCCAGGTCCCATAGAAATAGGACTTACTGTACAAGTGTATGTATTTCTGCTTAGAAGTAAGTTTCCATATTGAATGCAGTAGGATTTACTTCCAGGTAGGTGCAGGAAGCATTGCAGCCTAATTTTAGCTGGGTTCAGGCTGTGTGTTTTGTGAACTCTTCCTACCTACAACAGCAAAACTCAGTGCCATTATGAGCAGACAATATGCTATCAAGTGTATGTGGCCAAAAGCAACTAACTGTAGGTTCAATGATCAGGGTGGATTTGGTTCTCACTGTATTGCATAATAAATATCACTTCTGTTCAAGAATTGTTTTGTCTCTGACTGTCCTTTAGTTTCTTTATTTGTGAGGTTGACATAACCATAATTTTGTTGGAATAGATTTAAGTTCCTGCTACACTAGTTCTCTTTCTAGCAATAATTTGCCCAGGGAGGTTGAAATATGTTCCTCTAGATGTTAGTGGACATTCCTCCACATCAGTTATGGCTGATAGATGGTGTGTAACATCTGAAGGAACATTATTCATCACCTCTGGGATAGCTTATAGGGCAGGCATGAATGAAGCAAAACGTTATTTGGTCCTGTAGCCTGGTATTCAGATGTATGATGATGATGATGATAATAATATCTGATGAAACCATGGACCATATCCTCAGCTGTTGCAAGAAAATCGCACAGACTACAAACAAAGGCACAACTCTGTGGCCCAAATGATTCACTGGAACTTATGTCACAAGTACCACTTGCCAACAGTAAATAATTGGTGGGATCATAAACCTGCAAAGGTAGTGGAAAATGAACACGCAAAAATACTGTGGGACTTTCGAATCCAGACTGACAAAGTTTTGGAACACAATACACCAGAGATCATGATTCTGGAAAAGAAAAAAGTTTGGATTATTGATGTTGCCATATCAAGTGACAGCTGAATTGATGAAAAACAACAGGAAAAACTCAGCCGTTATCAAGACCTCAAAATCAAATTGCAAAGGCTCTGGCATAAACCAGTACAGGTGGTCCCAGTGGTCATTGGCACACTGGGTGCTGTGCCAAAACACCTCAGCCAGCATTTGGAAACAATAAACATCGACAAAATCATGATCTGTCAACAGCAAAAGGCCACCTTGCTTGGATCTGCGCGGATCATTTGAAAATACATCACACAGTCCTAGACATTTGGGGAATATTCGACTTGTGATTTTGTGATATGAAATCCAGCATATATATCTCATTTGTTGTGACATACAGTGTTTTTGTGTCAGTAAAATAATAACTTTATTTTTATATCCCGCCACCATCTCCGCTAGGGGACTCGGGGCGGCTTACATGGGGACAAGCCCAAAAAGCATAGATAAAAGCAACAACATTAAAATCAATCAAATACAAACATAACAGTCACAAAAACATAAAAGCAGTATCATGGCTGAAAAACAGAATCGAAGCTGGGTATGGGCTCAAGTAAGTGCAGTGAATTCCTAAGTAGAGCCGAGAGAAAATGCAAAAAATCAAATATGCCAATCTAGAGAGAATGTCTTTGGCTATATAGTGTAAAGATTAGTGGGGGCTGGGCTAAAATAAAGTGCCGGAGCTTAGATGGGGTCAAGGTACTTCTCTGGTGAACTGCCTAATCAAAGGCACAATGGAACATCCAAGGTTTTAAGATCTTATGGAAGGTGGGAGTTTGTCTGATCTCCTTAGGGAGAGAGTTCTAGAGCCAGGGGGCCACCACTGAGAAGGCCCTCTCCCATGTCCCCACCAACCATTATTTCCCAAAATAGTTGTTCCATTTTTGGTATACTAGGAGTTTGTTATGAAACAGCCTAGTTTCTCTCTCTCTCATACTATGGCATAGTTTCATGCTGGCAGAATAATACTATAGCCGTGGTTCACAAAAGTTCAAAGTCAGCTGCAGGAAAAAGCATGGAATCCAATTTGTTGCAAATTGCCCTCTATTTTCTACATATATCTACTACAAGTTGAGCCATCATGGGAGTAGATCCTTGGATGAGGCATTCCAGGAGTCTCACAAGTACTTGGATAAAAGAACTGGTCAAATGTATTTTGCTACCCCAGGGTCCTGCCAATATGCAGGCTGTTCTGACTGTTGGGATCTGAAAGGCAAAAATCCCACAAGCACATCTCCCTTGGAGAATTATTACAAGCACAATAACCTTTTTTATATCCTCTTGTGACATCATAAATCAGTTGCCTCATTCTGTCTAATGGTGATATCAGCTATATTGCTCTTAGCTATATACGCTTTATGACCTGTTACATTTTTACAACCACTAATGATGTGCTTTTTCTAGGCCTCTTTGCAAACATTTTTCAGTCTATATGGATTGGCCAATCATGGTGAGATGATATAAATGAAGGGACACATTTACTGGCTTTATAGTCTGTGAAAATGTATCCCTTTCTCAATTGTTTACATCACACCATTAATGTTTTAGGATTCTATTTTAACTACTGTGGTAGCAATCCAAGGAATTCTGGGATTTGCAATTTAGAGAGATGTACTCAGAATTTACTGCTCAAGAGTGTCAGTGCCACTGTAAACTAGAAACTCCAGGATTCCACAGGATGGTGCAAGGGCAATTAAAGCAGTATCAAAGTGCTATGACTGTAGTGTGTGAAAGGCTCAAAGATGCTGGAGATTTCCCATTAATTTTCCCTAACATACTCACATTTTACTACAAAACACTACTTCCAAAACATTATACTGCAAAATATATGAATATGCAAATATACAACCAATCTGCCAGATTGGGGAATAGATGTTTCTCATAGATCAATTACCAAATTATTATTCATGAGCACCTGAATCCCATTGTATGGGAAGCCTATGTTTGTTTTTCCAATAGCTACACAGTAGAATGGCAACTTTCACATCTCTTTTTGATAGTGAGCATATTCACATTTGAGCCATACATGCTATCAAACACTGTTGCTTCAAACTTGTTTTTTATTCAAATATTTCTACTCTGCTCGATTTCAAAATATTTCAGCACAGACAAATTTAAGCAGTATAAAACTACACAACAATGTTAACATGAAAAGCAATTTAAAAACCAGTGCATGGAGATATAACTACACCTATATGGGCTGTGATCTCTCAGTCCAGTGTTTTTCAACCTGAGGGTCAGGACCCCTGGGAGGGGGTGTTGTAGTACAGCGTGATAGTAATGTTACTACTACAGGTAGAAGGGAGAAGAGGGCTGCGCAGGTGTTGGAGGAGGAGCAGCAG